TAGAATTTAGGTTGTAATAAGTATATATAATCTCCTCTTTAAACCTGTTTTAGAAAATGCTCATGAGGGCTAGCCTCCTAGAAACCGTTTCTTTCGATTCCCCTATCTTACTCAGAATACAGGGGGCTCCTCAACTAGAGAGAACTGTTGCTAGAAACCTTCTGAGAAGTATCGCAATCAGGAACCGGAAGAAGCTGAGCTTTAGTGCCTCTAGTAGACACCTGGGCAAAACCCATCAAATCTCTCCAGTGTTACTTGTCCTTTGTGCAACAGAATAAAGTGACTCAACCCTTCAATAAAAAGAGACTCTATTCGTATTTTGTGTCAAGTACCATAAGCTCTATTCATATTTTGTGTCAAGTACCATTAAGTACCCTGCCACTTTGAATCCTACCCTAGGACTTAAATAGACCACTGATCACCATGAGAAGCTCTACCACCCTGATGCTTCAAAAGATGGAAAGAACACACAGTCACTGTACCAAAAAGAATATCAACATTCCACCCTTTCAAGAGGCAGCATATGGGCAAGAATCAATGGTGCTGAAGGAAGAAGTTCAAGCTGCACTGAAAGCATGAGCCAAAAACTAGGCACCAGGAGTTGATAGAATCCCTATTGAACTGTTTGAGCAAGCTGAGGAAGCACTGGAAGCACTCACTCGTCTATGCCAGGGAACTTGGCCAACTGACTGGAAGAGATCCATATCCATATTGTGCCCAATCCAAAGAAAGGTGACAGATTATTCAAATTACAGAAAAATATCATTGATATCACATATAAGTAAAATGTTGCTGAAGATTATTCAACAAGGGCTGCAGCAGTATATTGACAGGGAGCTGCCAGAGGTTTAGACCAGATTCTGAAAAGGCTATCAGATGGATCTTGGCTGAAAGCAGAGAATACCAGAAGGATGTTTACTTTTGTTTTTATCGACTATGCTAAGGCGTTCAACTGTGAGGAAGATAACAAACGTGAAAAGAATGTGAATTCTAGAACACCTTCTAACTCTTTTAGTTTGGGGATGTAAGATTCTTCTATAAGCACTACTTGTACCTATTTTCAGCAGTAAGATATGTACAAATCAGAAGCCGCCTGTTCTTAGTTTCATAAAGACACTACATCTCCCCAGGCCTCTCGCTTTCGGCTCAGGCCCTTTACTCTCAGTTCCTGCGAGGCCTTCTGGACCCAGAAGAGACATTGCTTTCTCGGGAGAACTTTCCCTGAGCCCAAGCCTGGACTAGTCTCCTCTCCTGTTGCTTCATTCACAGCTCCTGTTCTTGTCCCTGCAAAGCCCCTCCCACTGTTTCCTAACTGCCTCTACCCCTGCTGCATGAGAATGTTAATCTGGCTGCTTTAATAGAAACAAACTACAAAGGGCTTCAGCAAGATGAAAGGCCCAAGCCAGTTGATGAGCCCAGGGTATGGAAGCTCACTGGTCTGTCGTCCTCCAGGATGCTGTCTCATTTACGTGGTCCAGTCTGGGTCTTCATCACTCTGTCAGATTTAGTCCCGGGAAGGGAAAGGTGCAATTGACAAGGCACAGGAGTTGCTACTGCTTGGTTTTTGTTTTGTGGTGGTTTTTTGAGGACATTTTCAGAGGCTTTGCTTATGGGCTAAAATATAGCTCAACACAGACTGCCTCAAGTTAACACGCTGCACAAGGGCCCCGCTCGACCATGGAAAGGACCGCGGTCTGGTCCCAGCAGCTGCCGCATGGGAGAAAGACGTGGCGGTCTGCTTCTGCAAAGGCTGCAGCTTGAGAAGCCCCGGGGAGGTGGTTCCAGGCTGTCCTACGAGGCTGCTACGATCTGGAATTGACTCGGTGGCAGTGGGTTTGGTTTTTTGGTCTGCAGTCCCCACTGCCTCTTCCTTTACAGGGCGAGACCCACATTGCTCCTCCCACTTCTGCTCACACTGCATGAGCCAGAACTCAGCCACACGTGGCCACTAGCAGCAAATAGACCGGAAAGGCAGTGTTGGCTTGGTGGTCAGTGTCGAGCAAACTATGTATTTTATCACTTAGAGGGTAAAAAGGTTGCACGGATATCACGGGCAGTGAGCTGTCTTTGTACCACACATACCAAAGAGGCAGTGAGTTCTGGGTTTGCCAGCCAGTCCATCTGCGCTCAGCAGTGTTTAATGAAATGACGGTCTTCCACAGGCGCACAGCAGAGGCTGTATTTCCAGACGGTTCTGAATGTAGGGCTGACTCATTCTGACAAAAGAAGTTGGACAGCTGCCGACCAGAGTTCGATATTAGCCTGTTTATGCTCAAGACATAGGTATTTTGACCTAACAAGTCACCTGTCAAAAAACTCTTTATTTTTAACCCGTAAGCTAAATCTATCATATTCCTATTTTGTTTCTCTCTTGACTTGGCTGATAATCAAACAGTGAAATGTGTAACTCACACTTAGGGAAGGGTGTTGTTTTGCTTACTATTATTTATTTATCATTGTTGTTGTAAAATATAAAGGGGTTTCAAAAAGCTTGTGGAAAAATGGAATTACCTGTCCTTGGATTTTTCTGGAGCCCCCTCATATCTTCAAGGCAAAACTCACCAAAGTAGCGTCTACGACTTGTTAGTAATGCCACCCTCACATGTTGTGCAACCGCCGCCTATTTCTAAACGCTATACCCACTTCCTAACTAGTGCAACGTTCTGGCCCGCACGTCCGGCTGCTTTCATTCTGAATCCTCTCTCACAAGATCCAATTAGCTTTCTCTGTGCACACGCTCCTTCCTTGGAGGTCGTCCCGGCCTGTCACCGGACAGGGTGGATGCGGCTCACTGAGCTTCCTCACCTGACGCGCTTACATCTAGTCATGTATCTGCTGTTTCCCGTTTCATCAATTACATTCCTAAAAGTAACCTAAAACATTCTGTAGAATGAGGTGAGGTAGGGCAAGTGGTCATCCCCACAGGGCCCATTCAAGGCTGTCCACTTACCACCAAGGGCATGTTGGGGCGGTGATCACAGAACATTCTTCAAAGAACAGTTCTCAGAATGCTGAGTCACCAACCCGAAGTCACCACCGGCTGCTTCCGACTTGCCTTGTGGCTCGTCCCTGCTCTCCACTCCCTGTCCTAAACAATACGAAACCCGGGCTTGCGGAAAGGGGCGTGGACTGACCCTGACCTGCCTGCCACGGCTGAGTTGCCATAGCTTCCCAGTGAGTGAAGTCCATGTCTCTCAGAGTGGTCAGTTTGGGGGCTTCCTGTCACCTAACAGTCAGAAAGGGATGACAGGGATTCTCCTTACGATGGGCAAGCCTGCCAGGAACCTGTAAAACCCCAGGATGCCACTGGGGACATGGGGGGAGAAAGGAGGCTCCGGGAGGGAAATCTCAGGCTAGCCGCAGGCCTCCCTGCCTGGATCCCTATCCCAGTCTGCTGGAGGGCCACGGACCCACCCACATGGGGACACACAGAGGAGCCCACATGGGTTGCTGGAGATTTGGAAGCAGTGGGAGGGGGCAGAGCCAAAAAGCTGCCTGGGCTCTGGTGGCCTGTGATTGACACGGAGTGGGGAGCCTGCTCTGTAAGGCTCTGGCAGCCGAGAGCAATCTGGGAGCTCCACTGGGAGCTCAGAGGACACGGGCCTCCAGCAGCGGCCGGCGGTCCACATGAACACCTCCAACAGCAGTCCAGTCTCAGAAACTCACAGGGGGTCGCTATGAGTCCATACTGACTAGACGGCAGTTTGGCTTTTTGGTTTCGGGACCAGAGCAGGAAGCCTTTTCTGTAATACACTGGCTACTGTCAACGCTTCCCTATGGGTTAAAGACAAATAACCTAGACCCTCTAAGTCAAGAGGAGCCACATGTCTCTAGGTCTCCTCTAGGTTATAATGGGGAGAGCGCACCATAGGGAGGGCACCCAGAGGCAGCAAATATCATCCTACAAACCAGAACAAAAGCTTCAGCCTGGGGTAATACTGAGTGCTTCCGATATCAAGGCATGTGCACTGCTACAAGCAAAATGACTTATCCGGGCTTGTGCCTCTCTGCTTTTTGTCATTCTGCCTGTAGGGTCTGGGAGGCATATTCACCAACTGGGCCCAGATGGTAGACGACATGACGAATCTGACTTCTGGGTGGGCAGTCAGGTCCCCACGTCACCTGGCACTGGGTACCCTGGGATATGGGCTGTGACAACCTGACCACTTGGGCTTGCCTCACTGAATGGCAGGATCTCACTACCTTTCTAACGTGTCTTTGCTTTGCTTGGGGAACAGATGAACATTACTTGGTGCTCGGGCCATGCAGCCGGGGATGGTGGCTGGGTGGCTGGTGGCTGTCTATGTGCAGCTCAGTTACCTGCCCTATGGTGCCCTGAGCACCTTCTTTTGGGCACTGACCAGAATAGGAGATGGTTACTCAGTAAGTGCGCAGATAGACAGTCCCCTGCACCCCACATCAATGATAACCTGAGTAAGCAGAACTCCCCCCTTAATGCTGGGGCATTTTCCGCGTCTTGGGGTTGACTATGGGCCTGTAAGACCAATGACTGGCCCTACTTACTGCACGGCTATCTTCTATTGTGTCTGTATTGCCAATATGCCCAGCAATTGGGAACCTTTTATAGCTGGCATCACTGCACACACACCTGACGACTGGAGGGATTTACCCATGTACTTTTTGTGATAAAGGCTATTATTGGGACAACGGAACAGCGTGAAGCCCAAGGGCATGTCCATCACCTGGCTTTTTAAAGTGAAGTTTTCATCGTGAATAAAGTGGGGAGATTGCTCACCTGACTTTGGTGGCTGTTGATTTGGGGGAGTTGCCTGGTCTGTAGAAAGTATTTGGCTACAGATGCAAGAGGACGTGTCCTCGCGTGTTCTGTCTGTGGCAGCCATGACTGCATAGGGGAATACAGTAATGAAAATAAAAAAGTATTTGGGGGTGATGGGGCAGCAGGCTGTCAACTTACGCTTAGATGGCTCAGGAAAAACAGGTCTCTGTAATGTAATTGCCACTTCTCTGTACACTTCAAATGATTAAAAATAACATTTTTATTTAGAAAAATGATCAGTTATTGTATTTCAGTGATTACTGTTTTTTGGTTTTTTTTAAAGCTGGCCCAATCCGAAGAACCTCCAGTTCATTCTTGGCTTCAACAAATTAAAAATACAACCTTCCAAGTAACCACATCAGTGCCAGGCTGAAAGCTGGGATTCGGGCGCCTGGTCTTCTCTGCTGGTGAAAGGCCCCTGGTTCCCCCAAACCCCGCTGGAGACGTCATCCCCGGAGAGACCGCTGCAGGGCTTCATACATCGCCTGGTCCTGAGGGGAAACAGAAGATGAAATCGAGCGTGACTGAAGAGGGCTGGTCTCTCCACCCTGCCTCTACATTTGGAGACTTCTCCATTCCCAGACACTCCTTTCCACAGGGATTGCATGGCTTTATCGGTTCAACAGACAACAGCAGATGACACGGCCGCTGTCTAGAGGTGGCTCACAGTGTATCAATTAGCATATACCAGGAACTACCAAAAGGCTTTGCAGAGCTGTTCTCATCCAAAATGAACAAGAGAACCTCGTTGCTTCACAACCCTACCAACATTTGGTGTTGTCGGGCTTCTACATGTGAGCCAGCCTGGTGTGTCCTGGAAATGCTGGATTACTATGGTAACAACGACAGTTAACATTTTAGAAGCGATTCCATGACTAAACATTTAATCTCAATTACTTGCAGCATATTGTTGTCTTGGGGACCTTTAAAGAGGAGCTGATAATAAGGGTTCAAGTAGAAAGACAATGTTTTGAAAATGACGATGACAACATATATACAAGTTTGCTCGATATAATTGATTTATGGATTGTTATATTTGTAAGAGCCTCCAAAAGAGATTTAAATTGAAAAAAAATTTATTCCAATTTAATGAACTTGTTCTCTTGGGTATGTTAAATATTCACAGGGTTCCAAAGTATAGGGAGTGAAAGACGTCTGTGTCCTACCCTAACCTTCCAAAGTTACCATGTGTACTTCCAATTTCTCCTTCTGCATACAGACCAAGAAAACCTCACTGTAATCAAGTTCCAGCGGCTGGTGGGTTTGAACAGCTGATTTGGTAGTTTAGTTAGCAGCCCAAACGCAACCACTATGCCACCAGGGCTCCCTTTTTAAAGAAAAAATAGCAAATACAAACAATCTTCTGTTTTTATACTAATGGTGACTCTTATTTAGGAGTTACATTCTCTCATCTTTTAGAATATTATATCATAATTATAAATATGACCATTAATTTAGTCTTTTCGATCTTTAGTTTTTATTATATACAATGCTCCACTGAATGTAAACAACTTTATACTGATATATGCATATCTTGATAAATTCACGCAAGGAGTTGATGGGTCAACTTTTGCTGTAATTTTTGGTAGATGTGCCAAACAGCCATCCACCAGTTGTTAATAAGCCTTCCCCCAATCCTGATAAGGCATTCTTCATATAACCCAGCCTCCCTGATTATGTGCTCAGCACACGAACTGAACAAGTATAGTGAGGGATATAACCCTCACGTACACATGGAATATTTCCTTGTTCTGTTTACACAGCTGCCTCTTAATCCATGGACAGGTTCTGCTTGAACACATGTTAAGTGTCCTGGAATTCTCATTGTTCTTAAAACTACCCAGTTTATTATGGTTCATACTTGAATGCCTTTGCATGGTCAATAAAACACAAGTAAACACTGTTCTGGTATTTTTTACTTTCAGCCAAGATCCATCTGACACCAGCAGTGACCGCCCTTGTCCCAAGTACTCTTCTGAATCCATCCTGAATCTCTGACAGTTCCCTGTCAAGGCACTGCTTAACTGTTCCAAACTTCAGCAAAATGTTGCTTGCATGTGATATTAATGATATTGTTCTATAAATGAGCATTCTGTGGGGTCACCTTTCTTTGGAATGGGTACACGTGAATATCTCTTCCAGGTAGTTGGCCAGGTAGCTGTCGTCCAAATTTCTTAGCATAGACGAGTGAGGGCTTCATCAGTCTGTTCAAACATTTCTGTTGGTGCACCATCAATTCCTGGAGCCTTGGTTGGGGCTAATGCCTCCAGTGCAGCTTGAAATTCTTCCTTCAGTACCACTGGTTCTGTTTGCTTCTACGTTACCCCTTGAAATGTCTGAATGTTGACTACTTCTTTTTGGTACAGTGACTCTCTGTGTATTCTTTCCATCTTTCTTTAGATGCTTCCTGCATCAGTCAATATTTTGTCCACATACTCTTTCAATATTGCAACTCAAGGCTTAAGTTTTTAAATTCTTTTAGTTTAAGATATGCTCAGCTAATGGCTAGCCTTGTTCTGATTACCTTTTTCATAACAGCCACTCTAATTATTAACATAATGAATTTTTTTCTGGTAATAGGGCATATAATAATAGTTTTTATTCTGAGGTGAGCTTCAGCATCGCATCTATCAAATTTAGTAGTGGGAGTAGCGCTATCATTAGAGGAGGGGGATGGTGGTGGTTAGGGGAGAAGGGAGGAGAAAAGGGAAACCCATCACAAGGTTGGGGGATACATCATAGAAATGTGGGTGAAGGGAGACAACGGACAGTGTAAGACATGAAAAAACAACAATAATATATAAATGATCAAGGATTCACAAGGGTGGGTGGGTGAGGGGGGGGAGAAGAGTTGATAACAAGGGCTCAAGTAGAAAATGTTGATGGCAACATATGTACAAGTGTGCTTAACACAATTTAATGATGGCTTGTTAGAAGATTTGTAAGAGCCTCCCAATAAAATGATTAATATAAAAGAGAGAAGAGAGAGAAAAAAAAGAAGAAATTACTTCAAGGAAGGTAAAAGGAAACAGAGGAAAGATCTAGGGAGCAGAGCTATAGAGGTATAAACATAGGTGTGCACTTATGTAAATATATTAATTCATAAAAAAAGAGGTATTGGCATATGTACATATATTTACATGGCAATACATTGAGAAAGTAGATGGACTTTGGGCCTCTGCTAAAGCCCCTGCCTCAACTTAAGAACACTTTGTTCTAACAATCTGGCATTCTGTGATGCTCACCCTCCCAACATGTTCTGATCACTGAAGACAAAATGGATGCACAAGCAAAGGTGGTGAAGAAAGACGATGGGGCCTGGCTATCAAAAGATATAGCGTCTGGGGTCTTAAAGGCTGGAAGTTAAACAAGCAGTCATCTAGCAGAGAAGCAACAAGCCCACATGGAAGAAGTACACCAGCCTGTGCCATCATGAGGTGTCTATGGGATTAGGTAACAGATATCAGAAGACCACAAACAAACATATTGTTGAGAAAGCAGGGGGTCAGAGCAGAGAACCCAAATCCACCTGTAGATAGCAGGTTCACAAGGAAGGGATGATGAGTCAAGCAGGGTGCAGTACAGCACTGATGAAACACACAACATTCCTCTGGTTCTTGAGGCTTCCTCATGCCCCACTATCACGGCCCCAGTCCCGCCTTTCACTTCTGGCTAGACCAGAGCACGTACACTGGTACAGATAAGAGCTCACGACACACAGAATCCAGGTCAGATAAACCCCTCAGGAACAGAAATGGGAGTAGTGATACCAGGAAGGTAGGGGAAAGGTGGGGAAGAGGGGAGGAAAGGGGAACTAATCGCAATGATCGACACATAACACCCCCACCCCAGGGACGAACAACAGAAATATGGGTGAAGGGAGACAGTAGTCAGTGTAAGGTATGAAAATAATAATTTATAATTTATCAAGGAGTCATGAGGGTAGGAGGGAGAGGGAGGGGAAAAAAGAAGGGCTGACACCAAGGACTCAAATAGAAAGCAAATATTTAGAAAATGTTGATGGCAACATATATACAAATATGCTGGATACAACTGATGTATGGAATGTTACAAAGGCTGCAAGAGCTCCCAATAAAAGTGATTTTTAAAAAAGAAAGAAAAAGGAAATTACTTCAAGAAGACAAGCTACGAGGCCGGGAACAGTTTCAGATGTGCTGAGCACGCTTTTCCCTTTTGGCTTGCTAACGCTAGGTCCTTGCACATTTCATTATAATAATTCATTTTGTCTTCTCCAGCTGCACGTTGACAATATTTGTTCAGCTCTTTGATGTCATCATTTTTTGCATTTGCCTTAAACTATCCTATGACTAAGAACTAGTTTTAGCATCTCTTCTGACAACCCTGCTGATCTTTTCTTTCGTCTTTTTAATAACCTTTGCTTTCTTCACGTATGACGATGTTCTTGATCCATACCATAGTTCACCTGGTCTTGAAACCATTAGTGTTCAGTGCATCAAATTTGTTCTTGGAATTCAGGTGGGATGCACACAAAGTCATGCTTTGGCTTTTTAAATTTCCTTCAGCTTTGACCTGAGCAATTGATGGTCTGTTTCACAGTCAGCTTCCAGACTTTAGCTGCTGATATTGAGTTTCTCCATTACATCATCGCAGAAATGAAGTCAATTTGATTTCTGTGCATTCTATCTGGAGAAATCTTAGTACACAATCACCTTTTGTGTTGTTGAAAAAGGTATTTGTGATGAAGTCATTGTTCCTGAAACATTCTATCATGTGATCTCCAACTTCATGGCTATACCAAGGTCGTATTTTCCACCTACTGTTCCCTCCTCTTCATTCCAACTTTTGCATTCAAATCACCAATAATTATGATTGCATCTTGATTGCATGTTTGATCAATTTCAGACTGAAGCATTTGAAAGAACTGTTCAATTTCTTCATCACTAGCTTTAGTAGTTCTGCATAAATCTGACTAATAATTGTACCAAATACAAGATTTCCTTGTCTGTGGATAAACATTTTTCTGTCACAGACAGCACTATACTTTCAAGATATATCTTGAAAGGTACTTTTTGATGATAAATACATCGCCACTCTTGACTGTCATTCCCAGCAGAGTGAATCATGACTGCCTTATTCAAAATGGCCAACATCAGACCCTATCAGCTTGCTAATGCCTAGATCGATCTTTTTGCATTCCATTTCATTTTTGATGACTCAGTTTTCCTAGATTCATACTTCATACACTCCAAGTTCCAGTTATTAACGTAAGTTTGTAGCGGTTTCTTCTCATTTTGAGAATATCAGTGTCACAGCTTCCAGTGTTCCAGCAACACACAAGCCACCACAGTGCGATAGACAAACTGACAAGTGGTGAATCATCTACCACTCTGTGAGATGCTGTGTTTATCTAAATTACGGATTGGTCCAGAACTTCCTTTCTTATTCCATTTGTATGTTAGTCAATTCATGTGCCAGAACTAAAATGTTGGAATTATGGACACTTTGAAAA